ACTAGCTACTAGCTACTTGTTTATACTAACATACTCTGTCCTCTAGCCCAAATTAGTAGTTATAAGCCTAACTCTGCCCCTACTATAACAGACAGTCAAATGACCCTAAAGCTCCTTAGTGAATATGCCTGTAAATACACTACCTTCTTTACACACAAGAATATTCCTGACAATAAACAAGTCTGCCTTATTATACATAGTCTTAAGCTTATTAAAGTCTGTAGTTAGTATACAGTCTAACCTGGCTAGATTAAGGCTATAGAGTTTGAAGAGTTTATTACTAACCTTAAGGGAATTGTTCTTAAGTATAATTAGGACCTTAAGCTGTACAATAAAATCAAAAATCTTAAGTAGGACAGAAAACATGTTAACAAATTCTATTTTAAGATTCTTGGCCAAAACTATCTTCTTAGTAAAAGTCCTACCATCCTCTCTTACTAGGAGATCTACTTTCTTATAAGTACCTGTCTAGATATTGACCTTAAATGAGTGTACTCTGAACCTGGAATTCAAGACATTACTGACTTCTAGAACTAGCTTACTACTGTTTGTAAGACTAACAACTGTGTATGTAACTACTACAAGCTTATTACAGATACAATCTGTAGTTATAAAGGTAGTTGTGCTACACAGTCAGCTCCCTCTTTCTCTAGTCCCTTAAGGATTTCTAATACAATTTCTCAGGCCTAAGAGAATACAGTAAGCCTGAAAATTGAGAAACTCTTGACTGTAGAGAAATTCACACTCAATCATTACAATAGATACTTTAAATACTGTTTTATGTATGTTAATCATCTTACAAAGGACTGTCAGATCCTGTATTCAAGAATAAATTGTACATCTATTACTAAAGTAGAAGGAATCTGTCTACATTTAAAGTACATGCCCTCTCTACCATCTTTGAACTATGTCAAGTCTATACTAGTTGTATCAATTGTGACTAATCTCTAGCTTGATCAACTTCCTAACTATGTGTGTGTTTTATTATAGTTTGAGCTACTCACTATCACAAGTTTGTTATTGTCTAATCAAGAAGAATATATAGTAGCAGTTGCTCTCAGAGTAGAAATACTCTCAACTGTCTATATTAATGACTCAGACAAGTATGTACCTATTAACCCTCTCTAAATCTATTAAGAGTGTTTACTAGACAGTCCTACAACACTAAAACCCTTGTCTGTTTATACTCTTATTAACAATAGCTCTTCTTTAGCAATTATTAATGAAGTACTTGTGTACAACCTTAGATTGCCCTATTTCTGTCTCTCTAGCCCTATTCATATCTCCCTTACTCTATTGAATTCTTCTTCTAATTCTTTACAAACCTTACATAAATACATTAAACTCTCTCCTACTTCTGTTAATTACACCTGGAAATCCTGTACTATTAGAGTAGTAGTTGCCCCCTCCCTGTGTTTACTAATCATCCTAAGCCTACTATTCTTACTTACAAATAGAATCACAGTCTCTTATTATTATATACAGACTATTTACTCTACTCTAAACTACTAGCTCCTGTCTATATTCTGCTAGATTCTATCTTTACAAGTATTACAAGTCAACTCTCCCTCTCTAAACATTATCTCAGTAGTACATACAAAAATCTAAGAGCTTGCCTTACAGGATCAGCTCTCTAAGTTAAGTAATAGCTTGTGTAAGTAATATACTTTACTTTTCTGTTTAGAGCTCTCCTATGTAAACATACTCTTGTTTAATGTTTTCTACTACTTTAAATTAAAAGATTCAAACCTTCAGATAAAGCCTTACTAGTACTCCTACCCTAGAAAATATTGTAATGTATAGAAGGTCCTTCTATAAAGCCATCTTCTAACTAGCAGATTAAGACCCTCTTCTAGTTCTATTTCCTCTCCTACTTTCCTCATTACTAAATCAGACCCTTCAGCTCTTCTGTATATGGTTTGTAATTATTAGGAGCTTAACAGTAATACAATACCTAATAACTATCTACTACCTCAAATAGACAATATCCTGGCTGACTATGTAAAAGGTCTTATTTGGGGAAAAATTGACATAACAAATGCCTTCTTTCAGACCTGTGTTCATCCTAATAACATTTACTTGACTACAATCAATACACTACTTAGACTCTATAAATAGACTGTCATACTTATAGGCTACAGAAATGCTCCTACTACTTACTAGTGTTGTATGACTGAAGCCTTGTATTGTCTCATTAGTAAGATCTGTTATATTTATCTAAATAACATTATTATCTAGTCTGCTAATCTTAAAGCCTATACTAAGAATATCTCTATTGTTCTAGACTCTCTTCAGGAAGTACACCTCTTCTGTTCTCTAAAGAAAACCTCCTTGTTCTGTTTATCAATTGATTTCTTAGGTTATTAAATAGATTAGTAAGGTATACACACAGACTCTACCAAAACTGAGAAGATTATACAATAGCTAGTACTATAGAACATACTACTGTCTTGAACCCTTTAACATTGAAGGAATGTAATAAGGATCTCTCATACTAGTCTTTAAAGTTTCAACTTGTGTTTAATACTATTAAGACTCTTACTATGTCTGTATAATACTTAACAGTCATTAATTACCTGAATCCTAGTAACAATAAGATCTATCTCTACACAGATGCCTTGGATCTCTATACAGGTGTAGTTCTCTCCTTTAGGCCTTCACCAGACTTGGCTTGTCCTGTTACTTATGACTCTACTCTCTTAAAGCCTGTAGAGTGTAACTACCTAGTTTATAAGAAGGAATTACTTACTATTATAAAAGCTCTTAAAAAGTTCTGCTCCAACCTCCTAGGAACTACATTCACTGTATTCACAGATTATAAGACACTCACAAGTTTCCTGTCCCAGAGAGATCTCTTGTACTAACAAGTATGTTAGTAAGAATTCCTAGCTTAATATGTTTTTAATGTTTAATACATACTTAGTAAACAAAACAAAGCTGCTAACACTCTGTCCAGACTTCTAGATGAGGATTTCTCCCCCTTTACAGTAGTATCCTCCTGTCTTACAATCTCTACAGATGAACAATTACTTCTTCAAATCCAATCATCCTACAAAAATGACTCATTCTGTACTAAGCTCCTCTCTTAGCCTCTCAAATCCCTTAGTGTTCAAGTTAAGAATGGTCTACTGTTCTTGGGTGACAGGCTTGTTGTTCTACATGTCAATCAACTCTGTAAACACTTCTACAAACTTGCTCATAACTCTATAGACTACTTTAGGATTGACAAGACTTATGTAACACTAAAGTCATTATTCTACTAGCTAAACATGTGTTCTGACCTTGAAAATTCATACATTAAGTAGTGTGACTCATGTTAGAGATATAAATTATTCACTCAAAAACCTGCCAGTCCTTTGTACCCTCTTACTATGGCTGACTAGTATAGTAATACAATTACTATTAACTTTATAGATCCTCTGCCTCCAGACTACAGGTTCAACAGAATTGCAACTATTACCAACCAACTTAGTAGTAACATTTGCCTACTCCCTATCTGTATGGGCCAAACTCCTAAAGAGTTTGCCTGTGTTTTCTTTGACAGATAGTATTGTAAAAACAGTCTTCCTCTCAACATTATCTTAGATTAGGATTACCTCTTTACCTCCAAGTTCTGGAGGGCTCTTCATAAAATTTCAGGGGTTAAACTGAAGATGTCTACAGCTTATTACTCACAAACAGATGGAATCTTGAAACAAACAAACAAGTCACTCATCCAGGCACTTTAATTCTACATTAACTAACAACAAAAGGGCTAGTACTATACACTACCTTATGTTCAGTTTGAGCTTATAAACACTAAAAATGCTTCAACAGGATTTTCCCCCTTTCAACTTCACCTTAGCTGATGCCCCTGTCTGATCCTACCTCTTGTACCCTTACCAGAAAACAAGCCTACCCTTTTAGAGGACAAGTAAGCTTGTTCTCTCATCTAGCAGTTTAATCTTAACATTACAGAAGTGTAGGACTCTCTCATCCTAGCTAAAACTTCTCAAGCTCATACTGCAAACTGGAAGAGGAGTCTAAAAGACTCTTATACTCCTAGTGACTTTGTTATACTATCTACCTTCTATCAGTATCAAGATTATACTTAGGGTGGTAACAATTGTGTAGCCAAATTCATGCCAAGATGGGACAGTAAGTACTGTGTCCTCAAGGCTTTCCCAGACTGCTCCACTTACTAGCTTGAATTGCCAAACTCTCACACCAAATTTTCTACCTTCCATGCATCTCAGCTCAAACAATACTATACAAATGATCCTACATTATACTCTACACATAAACTTGTACAACCTCCTCCTGTCCTCACAGAGGAAGGACTCAAAGAGTGGGAAGTAGAAGCTATAATTGATCAACAAAGACAAGGATGCAGCCTCTAATACCTTGTTTGCTAGAAAGGGTACAGTCCAGAAGACAATCTTTGGTTGCCTAAGTAGGAACTAGACAACTGTACAGTATTAGACTAATAGGAACAACAGTTATGTGCTGACTCTCATACATAGTCCTCCTCAATCCTCAATTTCCATTCTACAAAACACTTGTGGAGTGTGTTCAACTAATGCCTTCTCCTCTCTTATCTTCATCTTTGTATTCAACACATCTTTTCTCTTACTAGACATTCTCAATTTCCATTCTAATATATCCCTCCTTCTTCAATCCCTTCCCTGCCTTGCCTGTTCCTTATCCCCTATATTTATTCACACTCTCTTACACTACTCTTCCCTTTCCCCTCTTTCTCTCTTCTTCCCAGTGGGGAAGAGTGTAACCTTGTGGAGGTTACACGCGATCTGTTAGCCTCATCACATGACTTATCTTATAAATAGCTCTAAGACATTCCCAAGACTGTATCTCTTCTTGTACCTCCTTCAATACTAGTCAATTGCCCGTTCCGCGACCTGAGTGAGACATTGTCTCCATATACTTCCCTTACAACAATGTAGTTGTATAGGCTAAAGTATCTCATATCAGAACACATAATTCAATCACTTGTATTCTGAGTAAGAAGAACTGTGTTTGGATCTCCTAGTGTTGAACGAATCTTAAAGAGTTGTACTGAAATAGTACAAGTAAACAAATTGAGCATCAGAAGGTATGATTATTGGAAAATATGTGAGGAATCCAAAAAAAAATCGTGAAAACGAAATATCAGCATATTCAAAAGGCAAACCCAAAAGATACCAAGCCTTCTCCGCACGCGGACGTGTTTCGTCGGAGTACCTATATCAGCACAGGTACGTTCCTCGAACTATAACATTGCGTTAGACATCCTTAACCTGCTCTTCGCACCAGTGCCACAATTCCTCCGCTGTCTTCGGATCGCGTGCGTCTTTGCGACACTCTGCGACGCGTGCCCATGGAACGAGGTATGCACCATTTATATCTTTCGCAGCTGGGGACGTTCCAGCATACAATTGAGTCAGCGCACCAAAAGGAGCTGGGAAAAGAGCCAGGTCCTAAAAAGCGTGCAATGTGCGTTAAAATCCTGCAGTTCATATGTGCTCGAATAACAAGGATAACAAAGATAGACAACAAAAAAAACTTACAAGTATCTTCTTTTGAATCCCTTTCACGTTTCTCTGCAACTCCGTCTTGATATTCCCAGGGTTGAGGGATGTAGAGACGATGCCTTGATCACCGTACCTCCTGGCAAGTTCGCGTGCAATTAGAACGTTCCCGAATTTACTTTGTGCGTAAAGATTCATGGTGCCAAGTTTTTTACGTGCGGGTGAGTCGCGTAGAGTATCGTAGCGGATGTTGGAGGAGACGTGCATCATGTGTCCAAGAGACGACGTCGTGACAACGCGGACGTGTGAATCAGGTGAAGACTTGGCGGTTTCGAGCAGGACGGGGATGAGGAGTTGGGTAAAATAGAAGTGACCTGTAAACGAGTAAAGCACCAAATTAACGCGGACTTATGAGTATTATGAAGCGATTTGTTTTGCGCACCGAGAACGTTTGTGCCGAATTGAAGGTCGTAACCGTCAGGCGTAAGTTGTTCGACTGGCGGATACATTACTCCACTAACAAGTAGGATTAGCGTGTCTCATACACTGGGAATATAGAGCACCCACCCATTGTTGAATAATATGTTGAGTTGCGTCTCTTTGCTAGTTGATATCGTCAAGTCAATAAGTATGGTAGATGGAGTTACTCAAAAATGAAAAGACCGCTACCTTATGAATTCCTCAGCAGCCTTCTTGACAGCCTTCAAACTCGCAAGATCCAACTCGAGAAATACAGCTTCTTTCCCCGTTTCTTTATTCAACTCCGAGATCGCAGCATCGGCCTTTGCTTTATTCCTCCCGGCAATATACACCTTTGCATTATGCCTTAGCAATGCTTTCGCTGTTTCCAGACCAATGCCTGTGTATCCACCAGTGACGATCGTAACTTTTCCTGACAGATCCGGGATATCGTCTACGGTGAACTTAGTCTTTGGAGGTCTGCTTTGGTCGTACGCCGCACGAAGGGTCGTTATCATTTGGCCCATGGTCGCCGGAAAGTCCTGCAATCTAGCCTAGCTGTAGTAGCGAGTGCGAGGGTGGTACACGGACTCTAAATTAGGGTTGTCGAACCATATGCTATTCCCATGCCTATGCTTTATAAGTGTGTGAATTGTGTGATAGCAACCGACCGAAACTAGGACTTACGTGTCGTGTCGGCCTCGGCTGGAATTTATAAAATAGGCACGTGTGACGACCGCAGCCAACATCTAACACCTCATGCAATAGAAGAGCTGAGACAAATGGACGTGAGACACCGAGGCGACGATCGCGTCTCTGATGAAAGAAAGGCGAGCATCCTGTGAGTCTGTGGCAAGTACGTCATCAGTGGTATTTTTAATTTTTATCATGTTCACACGGATCACGGATCACAGGCGGATCAAAAGATCAAAAAATACTGTATAACTCAGGCAGTCCTTTTGGTGAACTAAGTGCTCTGACAATTCGCAGTGGGCAAAACTGCGGCATGTTGGGCCATTGTTGGCAATATTATTTTTTCGCGCAAGATACTTAGGTATGCTTTTTCAAACCATTTTGCTACAATTTCTGTCAGAATGCCCTTTACTGCTACTTACAAGTTACAATACCTATAGGAAATATGTACTATAACATCTGCAAATGAAAAACAAAATGTGTACAATTTCTTTTTTCCTGCTCTTTTTTAGCAGTTAACTTCCATCATCCACATGGATCACACACAGAGTCCAGCAGCATGTATACTTATTTATACCAACTACTACTCTTCTCAGAGCTTAGACTGTCATTAAAATGAGTACAAAAGCCATATTAATGTTGTTTGCAGACATTGGAGTGGATGTGTAGAAAGACTTTAAATTTCATTGCTTTATATACAAAAAAGATATGTCCCAAAGTGTACATTTATTCATTCTATTATTATAGGAAATAGTATTATAGCTACAGGAATAGATTGTAAAGGCTGGAGCCTCACTCAAGAACACAGAACAGGCAAAGACCTGGGATTGGAGAGGTCAACCTAAGTACAGGAGCAAGTACAAAGATAATCTCTAAGTGTCTACAAATAGCCCTTTATATACTTAACTAAAGTCATGTGTGTAACCTCAGAGGTTACACTCTTCCCTACTCTGAAGAAATAAAAGGGGGGGGGGGTAGGGAAGTGATTAATGGAGAGACAAAGGAAAGGATATAGTAAAGGGGGGGGGGAGGTGAAATACAAAAGGGTAAGGACAGACAATAAGGAACACACAGTTATGAGTTTAAGAAGGCTTCAACTTGTTAAAAGGTAGGGAAGGATTAATGAAGAGGTAAGGGAAGTATAGTAAGAGGGAACACATAGTCACCAGCCTAGGAAGGCTTTGACTTGTTAATGAAAACATATAGGGATGAGGACTTTTGACAGAGTTGGTGGAAATAGTATCTCTGAGACAGATGCAAGTTGAAGCAAGCTGTTAAAGAGGAACACATAGTAACCAGCCTAGGAAGGCTTTGACTCATTAATGAAAATGTATGGAGACAAGGATGGGGACAAGGAGTACACATGGTCAAGACATGAAACTGTACTGCCAGGAATGTGTGAATGATACCTAACAGGTTTAGTGAGCACAGTGTTGCTACAGATAAGGAGAAGACAACTGAGACATTGACTAAAACACATAGTTGAGACATTAAACAGTACTGTAAGGAACACATGAATGATACTCAACAGGTCTAGTGAGCACAGTATTACTATAGATAAGGAGAAGACAACTGAGAAGGTCTTGTTTGACTAACAGTAGGCTAGGTGTTAGAAGTAATCTAATCTCTTTAGTGGTGTGAGTGAAAAGGAGTGTGAAAGTTAGAGTGTATAATAAAGAGAACTCAACAACTCTTCAGTTATACTAGCACCTGTTGCTTAGGGGAGGAAAAAATGATTAAAACACATGGTTGAGAAGTGAACAGTCATCCTCAGGTATGTGTCAGTACTAGGAGGAGTGGAAGGGCCAGGTTGATGAAATTGACACACTAATTCTAGGAGTAATGAGAGTACAGGTAGTGTGTGGGTAAAACAGAGTATGTAGAAGTAACAGAGGGTCTGTTTATAAGGGGGACAGGACAGAACAAGACAGGACAGGACAGGACAGGACAGGATAGAACAGGACAGGAAAGGACTGGATAACACTAGCAGAGTATAATCCCTAGCTAGGTCTGTGACTAGGAATAACACTAGTAGGGGCTTAATACTCTGGCTAGGTCTGAGACTAGAGGTAATACTAGTAGAGGCCCTAAATGTTTAGGACTGGGATTAACACTAGTAGGGGCTTAGTACTCTGACTAGGTCTACAACTAGAAAAGGGACTTTATACCCTAGGAAACAGGAGGTGACACTAGTAGAGGCCCTATATGTCTGGGACTGGAATTGACACTAGTAAGGGCTTGGTACCCTAACTAGGTTCACAACTGGAAAAGGGGCTTTATACTCTAGGAAACAGGAAGGGAAGGGAAAGGGACTTTATACTCTTAGTAGACAGTAGACAATAATAGTAGACACTAGACAGTGACAGAGTAAGAGATAGTATAGTAAGGAATAGACAGTCTTGATGAACACCTTAACAATAGAGAGATACATGTTGTAGTAGGTACAACAAGTATACAATGAATATACTGTAGTTGACAGCTCAATTGTAACATCTATTGTACTAAAAGTAGATACTATCTGTTAGTGTAGAACCTGCAGCTCCTGAAGAGAATTACACTACAGTTCCAGATATTAGTAGTAGTATTAAGATAGTACTTCCTTGTACAATTTCAGGACTAGGACAGTAGGTCCTTCTGTAGCTTGTTTCTCAACAGTGTTCCAGTAGAGCAATTGTACAGTAGCTCCTAATCTTAGTAGTAGTACCAAGATAGTGTTCTCCTTGAACAATTTAAGAAATAGGATAGTAGGGGCTTCTACAGCTTGTTTCTAGACACTAGCTTAAGATTGTAATGAGTGGCAGAAAGGTTATGAGTAAGAGCAAGTCTGTAGATAATCTGTTTGAAGTAGTACAGTAAAGTATATTCTTGAGTGGCAGAACCTTAATTGTAGACAGCTGACCAGACTCACAATAATGTGTAACACATGTAACTCTAGTACAACCACACACACTCTTCTTAACACCTTCTCCTAGAATCCAGGGACCAATCTGATAAGGGTTTGCTGGGAGAGGGTAGTACAGTAAAAGTATATATTCAAGTAGCAGAATCTTACTTGTAGCCAACTGACAAGACTCATAATGAGACACAATGTGCACAACTCTAGCACAACTGTATACAATCTTCCTGACACATTCTCCTAGAATCCTGGGACCAATCTGATAAGGGTCTGTTGGGAGATCAAAGGTGGGCCAGTAGGTAGTAATATTCTCCCTATGAGCCTTCAAGAGTGAACAGGAATTCAGTATAGCATTTGTGAAGTTCATGATTAACTAGAGTATTACTATAGAGTACTATAGGTGTGTAGGAGATAGTAGACGTGTGGGGGGAAGCCAGGGGGGGGAGGCTGACAATCTGGTGGCACAAGTGAAAGGCAGTAGATGAGAGGTAATCCCCAAATTTTGTAATGTTCAAAAAAAAGTGTAAAGGCCAGAGCCTCACTCAAGAACACAGAACAGGCAAAGACCTGGGATTAGAGAGGTCAACCTAAGTACAGGAGCAAGTACAAAGATAATCTCTAAGTGTCTACAAATAGCCCTTTATATACTTAACTAAAGTCATGTGTGTAACCTCAGAGGTTACATAGGTTAAGTTAATAATACACAGAATACAGAATGTTATAAAGGCCATTTGGAACACACCTTTGCTGCTTGTAGACATACTTCTTTGTAAGCAGCATCTAGCTGTGTGTAACACAAGAATCATGCCCTTTTTCTTCACCTGAATTGGATGTAATAAATTTGTCCCTAAAATAATGTATAATAATAAGAGAAAGGGATATTGTAAATATTAAGAAACAGATATTATCATGCTTCAGGAATCATGTGTAATACACTGCTTTGGCAGAAGAAGTTGAGTCTGCTAAGAGTGAAATTACTTAGGTAACCTAATATTGTACTCCAATGAGTGATTATGAATTATCATATCCATAAAAGTGAAGATTCTCCATTGGGCTACAGAGGATTATTGAAGTTGGGGGGCAGAGACTACTTGTATGTATGCTCATGGAAATGGCAATGTAGAAACCTATATGTGCAAAGTCAGGTATTTTTCCGAGTATTGCATAAAGTGATAACACTTGCTCAGGGACCATCGAAAACATGCACCTTTTCTATACCGAGATATTCTCTTAGTTTCTTGGCGTCCTTTACGAAAGCCCAAGTTGTGTTTGCATCAAATGAAGCTGTCCTGCACATATATAATCAGAGGCTGTAGGAATGGATACTTTTAGTATCACTAGTTTCGGAGTCGACTTGCTCGAACCACGTCTGTCGAAGAGGATGGTCTGCATCGAAATAACTAGTGGAAATGGACTCGGAAAAGCGATGGCGCGCTTTATTTTTCTTCTTTGGATCGATGAAGCACTGGTCCTGATGATCACAGCCACCACCAGGACCGCCGAGAATGAGTCCACAGCCATTCACTCCGATTAGAACGAACTGGGAGTCCTTTCCTTCGACTTGTAGCTTTTTCTGAGGTCGTTGAAAGGCTGTCAATTTAAGGAGTAAATAATTTTCTGACTGATCTGACTAAAAGTTATGCCAGTCAGAGATTAAGGTAATCGACTTTATAAAGTGGAATTTCTCGAACTGGTCCATGGTCGCAGCGATGATAGACATCGCGAATAACTTCCTGCGATTCAAACAATTGAAAGAACCCGAAGGACTAAGAAGGAGACACGAGGATGTGAGAGCGTGGGAAAGAGGATTTTAGCATATCATGGCAAAATGGATAACGTGATCCAGGACTGAAGATAAGAGGCGCTCTCTTTCTTACCTAATATTCTTTATTTACAACCTGTTCTCTACCATCATCATCATCAGAGTGTTTTATTGCTATGAATTGCACTCCGGCACTCTGGACAAAGGAGCGAATGGCACAGACATTAGATATTAGCTCTAGGGACAGGTTCTCTCTCTCTGCTTAGGCGATGAAATGTGCATGCATACATGCGACGCTATATAAGATAGGCACGTATCGCTAGTATGGGCATCTGACTCTGTTTACTCTCTGTACTACACCATCATGACTATCTCCATCGACGCATCTAAGCACCTCGTTAAGGCAGTCACTGTATTCAGCTCTTGCAAAGCGGAGGTCGTCCGCACCTTCACCGTAGACCTTGAAGGAGGACAAAACGAGCTCTCCATCACGAGTCTCTCGTCTTGCATAGATACCGACTCTGCACGCATCACCGGACTCGGAGACGCGATGCTTTCTGATGTAATATGCACTATCATCGATGCGCGTGATATACCTCCGAGCTCGGACGGTGACGTGCTGGAGGCCCTTGAACGTCGTCGCGAAATGCTAGAGGGCGAGAAGAAACTGTGCAGCAAAGCGTCAGATATGCTAGCGCAATACGGGCGCTCTATGGCAGCCGAGTACACCACTCCGGATACTGTAACTTTGTTCGCAGATAGCCTCGTTCAGCGCGGCGCAAAGTCGCTTGAAGAAGCTAAGGCATTAGACGAGCAGATCGCAGACTTAGACAAAGAGCTTGAGAAAGAAAGGCGAAGGTTGCAGAAGGAACGGCAGAAACCTGCAGCTCGTGGTCGCGTCACGGCCGTCATCGTGGCTAAGCGCGCTCGCAAAATTGAAGTAACATTTACCTATGGTACGTAATATTAAAAGTTTGACTGTCTTTTTTTCTTTTCATACTGACGTTATGGTTCAGTTGTGAGCAATGCATCGTGGTCCCCGTCCTATGACTTGCGCGCTATCACGGAGGATGGCAAGCATTCCCATACTGTCTCTCTACACTATTGCGCGTCCATCCAGCAGAATACTGGCGAGGACTGGCGCGACACAGCAATCTCCGTCAGCACTGCAATTCCGGGAACGTGGTCATCCATTCCCTCTAGGCGGGTCATGAAGATCAGCCCAGGACAAAGCACGCTAGCTGTCAGCAAGAACGTGGATGCAAGGAAAGCAAAAGTACTTTGCCAACATAATGTGCGGACAGCCCTTCCCTCTCGTCTCGATACTGTTCCCTTTCGCTGGTGGCGTGCGGCTGCAGCGGCTTATGGACATGAAGTTGATAGCATTCTTCCGCTGGCGTCCAGTGGTTATGATTGGCAATCTGTTGGGCCTCAATTTTATGAAGCTATTCTAGAATCAGAAGCTGCCGTTGCAAGTGACCACAACGATGCTACTTGGGCTGAAACAAAGACGATCGTGACTGAAAGTTCTGTGGTTAGCTCTTTCCGGATTGACGGAAACTGCACAGTCTCTAGCGCACTGACGGCACACAGAGTCGCTATTGCTCTTTTGTCCTTTGATGTGAAGGTGAACTATATCTCGGTTCCGCGATCGACACCCATGTCGTTCCTACAGGTACTAGTTTAACAATACCACTGATTACTATGAGTTCTGACTGCGTTTTGTATATACAGTGCGAAGTCAAGAACACCAGCCAGTATCGCTTGCTTCCAGGCTCTGTGAATGTATTCTTGGACAATAGTCCAGTATCAAAGACCACTATAAATATTCGTACTGCTCTCTTTACATTTACTATACCGTTTCTAATACGCATATATACACAAATAAAGGACATCAACCCAGATGAAATTTTCATGTGTACGCTCGGACCAGATCCTGCTTTGCGTATTAAGTGTACTCGTATGCCACCGATTGTTACCACTTCTGGTTCTTTGTACGTTGCACAGACGAAAATTACGACGTACAAAATTTGTACTATCATCCAGAACGGACATAGCTTCCCTGTAACGAGATTGGTGGTTCATGACGCCGCCCCTAGTACTGGAGAGACGACGGACAACAAGGAAATTAAAGTTGTAGTTAAACTCCCCGAAGGCCTGGCCGAGGCTGCGCCTGATGCGGTTGTTGACGTTCCAAACGCGTCCGTACCTGGAAAGTCTTCAGTAAAGGTGCATTGGGAGCGGAAGAGCGGTGTGAAGGAGGCAAATTATGTCTGGTTGGTGGACTTAGGTCCTGGAGAAGAAGTCAATCTGGAAGCTGAGTACAAGGTACGCGCGCCCGAGGACTATGTGTGGCACATGCTCGAGGAACACTTCAGTTGATTTCTGACTGTCCAGTTTCGCTGGATTGGGCTGGTACATCTTGTAATGTACTGTATGCGATGCATTTGTTACTGTGTTTATTGCATAATGTGACCAAAATAAAAGCGACTGTTTTTAGGTCGGGTTGGTCCGTGAAATTTTAGTTCTTATTGCAATGTATGGTGTCTTACAATGCAAATCAAGTATCAGTACAAGAGATATTTTGCAAATGCTGCAACAAGTAATAGCATTGCTCTGGTGGTACTACTACCACTATAATTTTCTTTTAAAAGAAACTTCAAATTATGTTTTAAATAATTATTCTCATTTATTTCAAGATTTCACAAATAAAGATATGCCAAAATTAATTTATAGTTTTTGTCTAAAGAAATTTTTAAATGTTGTTTACAATTTCTATCAACCAAAAATGGTAAATTAAATTATGAATTATATTTAACATTATGTAAGTTATTTCCTAAGGCAAGAAATTGTGAAATGCCTGATGTGTACTTATCTTGAGTATTCAAGCACGTGACTTCACCCAAATCAGATTGATCAACAAGGTCCCGCAAGTCGAACAGTTTCTACCAGGATCCCTCCTTGTGGCGTCCAGTCATGCTGTACCGACAGCTCTTCGAATACAGATCAGCCAGCACGTTTATATTGCGCATCCATATATCAACAACATCCGTCCAGGAATGAAATGATAAAATGACCATTTTCAGCGATACAGTATCGCCACCTTTGCTACCTGCTCCATGTTTTGCAATATTATTGGAATGACAGTCTGCATTCCATCACATCCCACCACATACTGACTAGTACTTTCCTATGTCAAGGACAAGTTCACAGGCCAAGCACGACATACCTCCACTCGAAAACCTGAAGCCTCTGTTTCGGCATGACGAGGATCCTCCCGAGTTTGACAACATTTGGTTATGGGCTAAGGATGAAAAGGATGATAGGAAGCCATGTCGCTTTAAACGAACTCGGGAATTAGGAAAGGGTGCATATGCTGTTGTCTGGGTACGTTCGACACTCTTTCCTCCTTCTCTTCTGTCAATGATGAATAAACCCCGTGCAAAAGCTGATAGAACGCGATGACATTCAAGAAGATATGAAGCTGGAGTTCGCCGCGAAAGTAGTTTCAAAGAGGACGGAACGTGACGGCAAGGAGCTGACTGACAAACAAATAAAACACAGAGAAAGCTTCACAAAGAACGAAGCGCGTGTACTAGCTCGACTGAGGCATAAAAACGTAGTATGTTAAGTGTAAACCGCAAACTGCGTACGTGCACATGTTCATTGATGCCCCGAAGATTATATGCTATGGAGCCTTCGAGAATGAGCATTCTTTCGTTACCATTTTGGAGTACGCAAGAGGAGGTGACCTTTTTAAACGCCTTCAGGAGGCTGGAAGATTTACAGAAAGAGATGTGGCACACTATATTCAGTGAGATTGAGTATCTATATTTTGATTAGAAGAATTATTGCCTAACGCGTGTAAAGCCAAGCGCTTTGTGCAGTACAATATTTACATTCAAGTAATATCTCTATAATGCATAGAGATATTAAGTACGTCCTCATCTACAATATGGGACGCCATAAAGTCCTTCTAATAACATGTTTGTAGGTCCGGAAATTTTCTCATCAAGAGAAGACACGAATCTCCTTCAAACAATGAACTTGTACTCTGTGATTTTCAAATGTAAGTATTTGTTAAGACGAGACTACACGAGAGCATGTCTCAGATGATATAAACTACATTACAAGCAATGACGAACAATGATGGAATACCTTCCATCATACATTCTACATCTGAGACATACCTACATAGTATATATAGACTAACTAATCAACAGACAATGAAGCAAGCTGCAAGAGAGTGAGCCAAGTCCACTATCCCCCCCTCTTTGTGTGATCCCTCTAAGCCTCTCACATAACCTCTCTTTCCCCTTTCTTAACAGGTTATGAGCCTTGAGCTCCCTGCCTACACTTTATCTACACTCTACTACATCTATGCTCTATACAGTTCTACACATTACATGCATGCACACAGCATAATACAACACAGAACTCGACTCACCTGTCTGAGTATCCCAAACGTGAATCAATATGCTGTGAACACACAATCTACCATACTACATACAACCCAGACATTATATGATCATCATCTTAGTGATTATGATCATTGGCCCAGTAATAACATAATCTATGCAGGCAACATTAGAACTATAATGAGTATCACTTACTGC